CTGGCTCTAAGCTGGTCAGGTCCTGGGAATGAGGTGGGAACAACACCAGTAGCAAACCAAAGGCCTCCGTTGATTAGTGGCAACTGCTGTTGGTGAGGCCCCTGCCTGCCCTGTGAGGTCCAGTGATGTAATGATGCTTGGGAATAGCTTTGAACACTCTTTAAAGAGAGTTTTACAAGGTTTTATAGGTATATAATATGTTTGAATTACATTAGAGATTTGACATCAGCATTGCTTAGTGCTTTTTCTTTTTGAATGTGTCAAAAACACACAGACACACAGATGTTGCAGAGTTCCTGATCCTTGGACTCATTTCTTTCTTCATTTATCCATCCATCCATGCACCCATATACTTTTTTCATTTTAAGCTCTAACAATGTCCTAAATTCTGAGAGGGATATGTGAGGAAAATAGAACCTTTACCTTCCAAAGCTGACTTTATAGTTGGAGAGAACAGACTACGAAACAGCTAATAATTCAATAAAATAGTAAGGGCCCAAAAGAGTGATACAGAAAATAAATGCTATTGGCACAGAAATGAAATAGGAAATTATATAATAGAGCAGTTGGAAGGGGACAGCCAAAATGCTATAAAAAAGAGGAGGAAGATTCTTAGTGACCAGAGGGAGAGTAGCTCTGTGTAGCCCATGTGCATTATATGTTCCAATAGGAAGCATGCCGTGAGGGGTTAATAAAAAGTTCTTTGGCTTTATTTGAGATTTGTTGAAGCAATAACTCCTACCATTTAAAAGGCCCCAATGAAGCTTTGAAGTTAACACCTCATTGCTGAGAAGTATGATGGCTTTTCATTCTGTGCGTTTATGCCTTTGCCTTAGAAAAAAAAAAAAAAAAGAAAAGGGGACCGAAAAAGCAGCAGTTGGAAGGGGACAGCCAAAATGCTATAAAAAAGAGGAGGAAGATTCTTAGTGACCAGAGGGAGAGTAGCTCTGTGTAGCCCATGTGCATTATATGTTCCAATAGGAAGCATGCCGTGAGGGGTTAATAAAAAGTTCTTTGGCTTTATTTGAGATTTGTTGAAGCAATAACTCCTACCATTTAAAAGGCCCCAATGAAGCTTTGAAGTTAACACCTCATTGCTGAGAAGTATGATGGCTTTTCATTCTGTGCGTTTATGCCTTTGCCTTAAAAAAAAAAAAAAAAAAAGAACAGGGGACTGAATATGCCAACATATGTTCAGTCTGGATTCAAGGCCCCTTTTCCTTTCTTTCCCTGCCCAACCTGCCTCCCCAGCTGGAATGTATAAATCCTGCTCAGAGGGGAAGATAACATGGGCACAGTGTTTCCCAGTTGACAGCCCTCAACGGCAAGTACCCAGTCTGTTATTTTTCTGGAACTCCGGCCTCTTTTCAACCTAGGGATTTTCTTGCCTATTTTCAATCAACCATTACTTATACCACTACACCTACTAAATAAGAAAATGTTTGTTTGAGTAAAGGCCTTGATAAAGGCCTGAAAATATAGACTTAGTGTTATTAAACACTGAAGGAGAAACACAAAGAATTATTAGATCTGTCCCCCCCCCTTTTTTTTTTTAAAGTTTGTTTCTTTCTTTCATGAGGGAGACAGGCACCTCCACAGGGTGCCTATGCCACCATCTACCCCTAGTCTCAATCAGCCACTATTATGACTCAGCATGCTTAAGGAAGTCCTGGGATGAGAACCCAAGATCTTTCCCGTGTGGGTCCAGTTGCATTACCACCGTGTCACCACCTGGCCCCAGCAGTTCACCCTTCAGTTGCTAGTCCTCCATGAAGCAGGGTAAGCAACACTAGAGAACAGTAAATGAAAGGTGTCAAATGGAGGGTTGCAGGACATGAGAAGTGAGGATCAGAGGTTCTTTTATTACTTCTTGACCTGATTTCACACACGTTCTGCTTGCTCTGAGGACCTGAAAAACCTGATTGGATAAAGAGGCTGTTTTCTTTTTCCCTCACAGACCTTGTGGAGGGTGGCAAGTTGTTTTCTTTTTAACATGGATTTTATTTTTATTTGAGCTTCAATGCGTTTTATTAATATAGTCTTTCCTATGTATATTAGGTTGTGAAAAACTGCTGCTGCTTTAATGAGCAGGGTTCTTGCAACTCTTTAGGACAGCTACATTTGTTTGCAAGCTGTCTGGCTGTGGCTGGGGGTGTAGACAGCAGCTCTGGAATGAGTGCATCTGTGGGAAGCCAGCATGTCCTAAGGGGATCAAACCCTTGACCTTGGTCTCATTCACATTATGTCCTGAGCAACTGGACTGATTGCTCACTGTTTAGTAGATTGGCTGAATGATAAGGCCCAAAAGAGTTTTTAATAGTATCCCAAAGACTGCGACTCTCATTGAGACAGATAGATAGACAGACGATAGATAGGTCCATCTGTGACCATGTCAACCAATTAATTGAGGGTAACCGAGATTGCACTTCCTCGGTTAAAGTCAAAGAGATTTGTCTAGTCGTGACTCTCCCTTTCTTAAGCTATGCAGTTTTACAGTAGTAAGTGGCTTCCTTCTCTGGATTGTTTTCCCTACTTATCAAAAGGGTTCAATTAGAATTGTATAACAGTATATTAGGAATTTAAACTTTTCCATCAGAGTACCCCAGTCACATAAAGGGAGTACGTGATATCCTAGGGGATCTGGGAACATAGCCTAAAGTGTCCCAGTGAAAATTTTGTTGAAATTATTTTTCATTTGCCTAAAAATTCACCTATGTGCACAGTCCCTCCGTATCACATTCATGTTTCCTGTATAGGGTACTGCTTGCCCAGGCTGAATGATCCCATCCCGTCATGAAGATGCACCACATATTCTTGGGTTTCCAGTAAATCCCGGCAGAACCTCAGGCATCCCTGAATGTAGGCACACCTTTTTGGAACTCTTAGAATAGATGCTTTAGTGTTGGCTGTAGCCCCTTCAACTTCTGAGCAGTGTCTTTTGTTCAGAAAAGCTTAATATATTTTGGGACCAGCAGTTAGCGTAATGGCTGTGTCGCTGGACTCCCATGTAATTGACCGTAGTTCGAGTCCTGGACCCGGTGGCTTAAAACTTATGCTGGGTGCATGTGTGAGCATACCCAAGATCGCGAGAGGAGAATGGAGAAGGGATTGCCGTGTGGTCACCCCCCCCTCCGGAGGGTGATTTCTCACTTTCTGTCTCTCTGTCTTTCCGGCGAGCACATGTGCCCTATAGCAAAAAAAAAAAAAAAAGCTTAATATATTTTGTACATGGAAGAAATGTGTGGATAATAGGAAAACAAAAAACGAGGGGGAGTTGTGAAAGTTATTCCTTACTATTTTATACAGTCCCGAACTGGCTCTGGGGACCTCTGAGGCTACTGGTCACTGCTGTAGCAGTAACTGAGCTTTGGCTTTGCATTATAAAATTAGATTGAGGTAATAGTACTTGTAGAACTCTCTTGCCTTTTCAACTTGTGAACTATTTAATAAGTTGAATTTATATTACTTTAGCTGATACTATATTTTTAAAGCTTATGGCTGTCGTGTGGCCAGTGACACAAAATATGAGTAGTGTAGGTCAAAATGTCAAAACAACCCAAAAAAAGGGTCTAAAAGAAAACCTGAGTCATGTACGAAAAGAGATTAGCAGTGTAATTATAATCTTATTTAATGAAAGAAAATTTCATTATATTCTTTGCTTCTGTAACAAATATAAATAAATTGAAGCTGAGCAGGGGATTTTTATTCTTTCTTTTTAAGTTTAGGATTTGTCTACATCCCAAGCATAGATTATTCTGTAAGGGATCTCATACATAGCAAGTTGTTGATATTTCTTCACATAGGACACATTGCAGTATGTTTCAGAAACGTTCCTTATTACATAAAATGACTAAGCAAATTCCAAAATATTCTGTTTGTAAAAATTATCCTTTAATCACTTCAAAGTTCGCATTACCTCTCTTTGCCAAGAAAGAGTTAATCCTCAAAACATTACGGTCTCTACCGACACTGTAAAGCTAGCGGAAATTTGTTGTATTGTATTCTATAAACCACAGCCACAGCTCATTAATTGAAAAATGAATGTCAATTTGTGTTAGCTAGCATCTATAAACCAAAAGGTACAGTAATCCTGGCATGTGACGGGTAATAAAAACATCGGCAAAATGTATCAGGTGAAATAGTCAGAAAGGTGGCAAGGTCGGGGGGGCTGGTGAATTCAAAACCGTATTGGAGTTTACTGGCAGGGCCCCACATAAAAGATTTTAATGAGGCTTCTGCATCAAAATAAGTAAAACCATATGGAATATTAATTATTTACTCCAGTATATTTTAAGTACAAATCCACATGAGAAGCATTTTGTACATTAGCATGCCTATCTGTGTGAACCCTGTGCTTCTGTGGGGGACAAATGTTGACGTTTTAAGTGCGACTTCTTTCCGTTTTAAATTGCTCACGCTATTCTGGTTTTTCTCACATGATCTAAGTATCGAACTTAATGCACAGAGAAGAGACTTGCCTATAACCATTAGCTCTGCCAACTCCAGTTCACCCAGACGTTCTGCAGTGAAAGGTCTGAGGACCACCTGTGGCCTGTATGTAGTGTCTCTATTGCCTAAGACAGCGCACAGGCAGTGGGCAGGGAAGATGCTAAATCTCATCCGCTCCCATTTCTGGTTCTGTCATAACCACCGCCTCCATGTTGTAAAACTTGAGCTTTTCAGAATTTTGTTTTGGGGTGGGGTTAGGTAGAGACAAGTCAAGTATGTAATTTATAAAAAGCAGGCAGGAACTGCCTGAGCTGTGATAGTTTTTGTTTTGTCATCTTGAAAGATGTTTGCTTCTGGTATTGGAAGCTGCTCAGTAGCTTTTTACCTTCTGCTTATGGTCCTGTGGATTCTGGGAAAGTACTAATGTAGGATGGGCACCTATCTGTCTACCCCTCCCCTAAGGCTGTTGCTTCTCTTTCTGTCTTGGAATTCATGGTCGTAGAACATTAGAGCTGGAAGGGAACTTAGAGCTCATCCCCCTCATTTTACAGATGATGACACTGCCACCTCTGACTTCTGCCTCTGGCCTTCCACTCTCAGTAAGAAGAGCCAGGCAGGTGAGACTTTTAACAATTGCTGGGCTGGGCAGGGCTGGGCTGGGCTGGGCTGTCTGATTGCTACTGTACGATTTGTGAGAAAAGTTTTTAACTGTATGTCGCTTTTAAATAGTCACTTTGCATTACAGATGCACATACTTGCACTTAACCCTAGAATTTTATAAAGAGCATAGGCAGTGTACACTTTAGCAAAAATTAACGACCCTCAATCAGTACTTTTAAAGAAAAGTACTAGGATTATTCCTTTCATGCACATCATAGTAGCCAAGAAGATGGGCTGAATGAAAATGGGGCTGAAAAAGTACCTATTCACTAAGAGCTTTGAGAATTGCTAAGTACTTTCCCCTTAGGTAAAAACTATAGGTAAAGCAACTATACAAGATCCAAATTTGGAGGGTTTTAGAAAGGATCAAAATTTTAACAAGAGCACTGATGTTAGAAAGGCCTTGTCACAATTCTATCAATCCTAGAAAATCATAGTGAAGCCAGTCTTTACAAAACGCAGTAAGTTTTTAGGCAGTTCGGAAAGCTAAATTCCATATGAAATGGTTTATAACTGTGGTTTCATAAGTCCGGCACCAGAAATAATGATTAAGGAGGCATACTGTTAGCTTAGGAAGTTAAAGGACTTCACATTTTAGGGGGAAATCATTCTTGCCTCTAGAGTATGCGGTGTAGGGGCCCAGTAGATGCGTGAGGGGGTGTCCTCCTCTTAATGTCCCCTGGGCAAAGAGCCTTTCGCAAAGCTACTGTCTGCACCTGACCTAAATCAGGCCATCTGTCTACCAACAAGGCTCGCGTGCAGTGATTCCTGAGGTGCTCCCCCTCCTGACCACCCCACACCTCCACTTTCAAAACCTTATCTAGTTTATGACCCTTGCGAGTCCCTGAAGAATGAGATAGTTTCAGATTATATTGAAATCTGCTTTGATTTCATTGTTGCTGAGATGAAGGTTATAACAAGATTTTAATTCTTTTAAGGGTTTAAAAGAAGTGATGTTAGGGGCATGTTAGGGTATCTTTCTGAGGTCCTTTCATGGATGAAGGAGCTCTGCCGAGAGTGCCAATAATGAAACTGATCATTTTGGAATTTCTTAATATTGGGTTGAGAAAAATACCTTTGTCCAACTTAGTATAAATTCTATTTCAACTATCTGAAGTGCATCAAGAAACAAAAAGAGAGAAAAAAGTCAATGAGGATTCTCTCTTGAAGTCTGGTGAGTGAACCTGTATGATCAGAGTGTTGGGTTGGTTTACATAATGACCTAGCACGAATTTGGGTTTTTAAAGCCCTTTGGGTTTCTCTGGGGGTGAAGAACTTAAGGATAAATGCTGTTAAGACTGTCAAGTGGGTTAAAAAAAAAAAAAAATGACTGTAAAGTGAGTGGTGCATTTGAAGGTCTGTTTGTGGCTTGCTGTTCCTTTTTGGGAAAGCTAAAGTTTTCTTTTCTCTTGTAAAAATTCTATCATTATTTTAATTGATATTTACAGATTTTTCCCCCATCTTCTGTTGTAATTTTTAGGTGCTTCAGAACTGGGCCCTTTTTCAGACCCCAGGCAGTTCCCAAGCATTTCATCCCTCACTGAGAGCCGCTTCTCCAACCCACGAATGCACTATCCAGCCACCTTTACTTACACCCCGCCAGTCACCTCAGGCATGTCCCTCGGTATGTCCGCCACCACTCACTACCATACCTACCTGCCACCACCCTACCCCGGCTCTTCCCAAAGCCAGAGTGGACCCTTCCAGACCAGCAGCACTCCATATCTCTACTATGGCACTTCGTCAGGATCCTATCAGTTCCCTATGGTGCCGGGGGGAGACCGGTCTCCTTCCAGAATGCTTCCGCCATGCACCACCACCTCGAATGGCAGCACGCTATTAAATCCAAATTTGCCCAACCAGAATGATGGTGTTGACGCTGATGGAAGCCACAGCAGTTCCCCAACCGTTTTGAATTCTAGTGGCAGAATGGATGAATCTGTTTGGCGACCATATTGAAATTCCGCAGCAGTGGCCTAGTGCTATCTGGGGCCACATCCCACATGTATCAATATATACATATATAGAGAGCGCATATATATGTATATCAAATAGCTATCTACAAAGTGCCTACTTTTTAGAAGATTTTTTTCATTCACTCACTTATCATGATCTTACAACTCTGAGAGGGTAGCTATTGAGATGCAGAAGGCCCGTGAGAGGCGATCATAATCAGGTTTCAGATTGTTTACTATTTAAGATGTGCTTTTACAAAGGAACAAACAAGGGAAAAGGTATTTTTTGTTTTTGTTTTTATTCTCTCTCTCTCTCTCTTTTTTTTTTTTTTTTTTTGGTCTGTATCGTAAATAACCTGTTCATATGTCAACTCAGAGAGGTGGATGACAGGTTCTGGAGGAAGAAGAGCAAAGCTGCTTCCTCCCTGTGCTTTGAAACCACACACCCTCTCAGTTGCGACTGTGTGTGGAGCAGTGCACTCTGCAGACCAGCTTACAAAGCCAGCCAAGGCGCACATAAAGGGAAGAGAGCCAGAACGGATGCTTCCCTTACGGTACGATCCATTCAGAGTCCGGCTCCCTATGTGCTTTCACACCTGCTGCAGGCACTCATCTGAACTATGGGTTCGGTTTTTGTTCTCTCTGCTCTACAAAAGTGACTTCAAAAATACCGATCAGGACAGATTATTTTATTTCACTTTTTTATATATTTCCCCCTCCTCCTTTTCCCATTTAACCGAAAAAAGAAGTCCTACCCCTAAAATCCCTCTTCTCCTTTTATGCAAAACTGAAAATGGCAATACCTTATTATAGCCATATTGGTATAGATAGTGTTTGTGTTTGGCTGTGTGTTATTTGTTTTCTTTTTTTTTTAAATTATGAATATGTGTAAAATCTGAGGTAACTTGCTAACGTGAATGGTCATATAACTTTAAAGATATATTTATAATTATTTAATGACATTTGGACCCTTGAAACATTTCTTAGTGTATTGATATGTTGACTTCGGTCTCTAAAAGTGCTCTTTATTAAATAACAAATTTCTTTAGTGGGCTAGAGCCATATCTGAAATATTGCTAAGCAATTTCAGTTCATCCAGGCACAATGTGATTTTTAAAAGTACTTCCATTTCCAAATATTTTAGATGTAGCTTGTTTTTGTGATGTATGAAGGAAATGTTATGTTTAATTCTTTCACATCTTCGATTGCCTCTAACACAGCTTTGCCTTTTAAAGCAATAAATAGGGATTTAAAAAACAACCCTTTGGCCCTTTGTCACTTACGTGGCCCTTTATCAGCATGAAATGCTAGAGTGATGTGGTTTCCTAATTTCTTTGGGATAATTATGACTCTTGTCATATTAAAAAGACAAGCACAAATGACTCACTGAACTTCAGAAAGATGTTCTGTGGTTTCATAGTTAAGTAAAACTCTAAATCGCCAGGCTTCACAGTGAAGACAAAGTCAGCCTAAAGCCCCACAAGTGGGTAAGGGATCAGTCATGATACCCATAGTCCAGGAAAGCAGAATGTGTACACCAGGGATTCTTAGCCGACCAACCTTACCAAACAGTAAATCAAGAGAGCCCAAATCCACCTTCCCGAAGGCCCCACTGGCAGCTTGCCACTGAATTTGCAACTGAAGGAGCAGAATGAAGTCATTGTCCTGTGGGCGCCAGTCATCTGAAGTAGCGCCAAGATGCTGCAGGTAGCTGATGTGAGAGGACGTACAGCCTGTGGGGACCTACATTTACAGCCTTTGGCATTGGTAGTTCTCACAAGAAGAGTCAAGGGAGGTCAAGGCTATCTGGGTTTGGTGTCCGTCTACTACTGTCTATGAATTTGAGCTAGAGCCCTCCTGTAGGATGCACTTTGACCATGCCTGGTGGCCACATGGCAAATTTTCAAGAGCAGATCCTTAATCCCAGCCAAGATCACTTCATGACACCATAAGGCAAATCCCTGTCATCCTGCCCACGCAGGTCAGGGCCCCTTTATTTGAATCTGGTGCTCTCCTCAGCAGAGCTTCACAGAGAGCTGCCTCCAGCCCCCAGAACCCTCCTTACTCTCTAGTCATCCCCAAGCCCACCTTTGCAGGCCACCAAGCCTTGTGAGACAGCCTGGGGACAATTGGACCTGTGCTTACTACCTGGGAGTCTCCCTTGGAATTCATTCTGACTCTTTCTAATAAAAATTGAGTGGAAAATGAAACAAAACACTTTGCCTTCTAAAGGTTGTATACCAAGTATGCTTACATAAACAAGCCACTTTCCTATGACTTAAGCAAGATGGAAGTAGTAATGGATTCTATTTATTGTTTGTGTGTGGTAGCTTGAAGCACACCACTGTCCATTTATTTGTCAGTGTAAAATATGTGTGTTTGTTCAGCAGCACTTAAAAAAGCCAGTGTCTGGTTACACATTTCAATTTTAATTAATTGACATAAAAATGTTACCGCCAGTGCCAGCTGTACCCTATTTAATAATAAAAAGGTACTATATTTGTACATTATTTTTTAATGTTAAAAGGGCTTTTTTAAGTTTACAGTACACAAACTAAGTGACTTTAGGGATGCTTTTGTGTTGAAATGTTATTATAGTGGCTGCAGGCAGCAACCCAGAAACACTTTAGAAGTTTTTTTCCTTAGGAAAAATTCAAGCACTTCTTCCCTCTACCCTCACTGCAATCATCCCAATGGGGTAATTCACATTTCTTAGAACGAATTCTGGCCTACTTTGGCCTAGGGGGCTAAAACTTTACTCCTCTGTTCCTTCCCTCCCTCTCTCCTTTACCATATCCTCCCCTCTTCTCTCCTCCTCCTTTTCTCTTTCTCTCCCTCTCTGTCTTTTTCTTTTTCTTTTTTTTTTTTTTTTTAAACTGAACCCTTAATTTGCACTGGGTCATATATGATTTGTGATTTCAAGACCAAAGCAAGTCTTACTACTCCTATGGAACCATGTAACTAGCCAACACTCTATTTCCTTGGGGTTAAAATAGCACGGTTCTTAGTGTAGCACAAATGTTGCTGGAATTTACAGCATGACCATTGCAGCCACGTGACTCTGCCTTTAGTTCTCCTACAAATTGTAATCTATGTCAGAATTCCAGAAGAAGTACCCCAGCTTTGGTTTTAGATTAGTGGAATGACATCCAGCCTGGAATTGAGAGACTTAACATATTCATTTTTATTTGCTCTTTAGACTGTCTCCCATCCACCCACATTGGCCCTTTAATGTGAGCGGCAGAATCCACACTGTCCATTAGGGACCACCCATTGTAAATTCAGAAGAGAGGAGATGGAAGGGACTGACCCAGGGTCTAGGTATATACATGGAAACACAAAGCATTAACACAAGTAATAATTCTACCTACGGTATTTGAAAGAACAATAATAAACAAAGTAAAAGATGACTCTTCAAATCTTAAATTTGTTGTTTTTTAAAAAGATAATGCGTTTAAAAATTATTTTCTATGTGAGAATTTTTTAGATGTTTGTTTACTTCATGTTTACAGGTAATTGTTTGCTTTTTAATGCAGTACTTTGAAATATATCAGCCAAAACCATAACTTACAGTAATTTCTTAGGTATTCTGAATAAAATTCCATTTTTTTGGATATGCTTTACCATTCTTAGATTTCTGTGGAACAAAAATATTTGTAGCATTTTGTGTAAATACAAGCTTTCATTTTTATTTTTTCCAATCGCTGTTGCCCAAGAATCGCTTTCCATGCACATATTGTACAAATTCTGCTTTGTGCCACAGGTCATGATTGTGGATGAGTTTACTCTTAACTTCAAAGGGACTATTTGTATTGTATGTTGCAATTGTAAATTGAATTATTTGGCATTTTTCATGATTGTAATATTAATTTGAAGTTTGAATTTAATTTTCAATAAAATGGCTTTTTTGGTTTTGTTATGTGTGTACATTGGGTCTTTTCTCATCCGCGGTTTCTTCTCTGGTTTGATGTCTACTTGTGCCTACACCTGGGCACTTACTGGTCTTAGAACTTGTCAGGGCTAGATAAGAGCAGAGGGCCTATATTACTGGTGAGAGGGGGGAAAAGAGTTTAGTAAACAATGTCTTCTTGTTTTGTACTATTCCTAGAGATCGTGGGCAGAGAATCTAACAGTGAACTCACTTCCTTATCAGCCTGTGTCTGAAGGAAGGAGCATTTACTGCATCATTGAGTAAAGCCCTTTATTCTGACTATGGAGTCAGTCAGGGTGTATAGAGGGCAGCCTCAATAGTTTGATGATTCTAATCTCTAAGAACATGAAACAGGGCCCAGCAAGAGAACCCCTGACTCTAGTCAGAAGATCTCAGGCAGCCCAGACACGGGGTGGGGGGGGTCTATTTTCCTTCTCACATCTCTTTTGGGTTCTTAAAAAGAAAGTCAACCAAAGCCCAAAGATAAGTTATAATGGACCTTGGCTTGCAGGGCTCTAAGCTCAGGAAAATTCTACTAGTTGCCTTTTTTTTTTCTTCGTGACCATTGTTTATTTTTGGTAAGTCCCTCCCCTGTAATAAGGTTGAGGGCCTGGGGGAGAATGGTTGCTTTCTTTACATCCTGTGCTGTGTGCTCTGACTAGCCGCAATTCTAGAAGAGGGGCCTGGGGAACTGTGGTGCAGAGAAGCTCAGCCGCTGGCCAATCTGGCCCTTGGAAAACTGACAGTTGATGTTCACGCTTAACCCTTTGGCACTGCTTTCTGAGGAATCTTGGAGACCTCTAATTTCTAAGAATAGGAGACATCCTAAAAGCACTGGGGTGAGTGTAAGCCAGGGACCTTGTCTGCAACTCTTTGAGAATGTGCATTTACTTGTTAAAATTACACGTCTCTGTGACCTTCAGAGGCATCCACCAGGGGAGGTGGGCTCCGTGGCTTTCCGTGTCCAGTTGGTCCAGCAGGATGGCTTAAGGCAAATTCCTTTACTCCTCTGAGTCCTAGTTTCTTGGTTTATGGAAAGATATTAGACTAGCCCGTGGCACTATTGACACTTCAGACTGAGAATTCTTTGTTGTGTGTGTTAGGGATGCAGTCCTGTGCATTGTGGGAAATGTTTAGTAGTCCCTTCTTGGTCATGGAACCCTCTAGACATGCCAAATATCCCCTCGTGGGACAGGTAAAATCTCTACTGAGTGAGAACGGTTGGGTGAGAGACTCCCCTGTTTTTAGCTTGGGATTTATGAACAGAGTTGATGTGAGAATACATTGCTTATTCAATCAGGGTAGCCAGGCAGGAAGCTGAGGGCTGCCCAGTGATGAATCTCTTCCATCCCTTCACCTAACGGCACCCTAGGCCTGGATGTGTTGCAAAAGATGCCTCTAGCTTTTCTGCCTGCATCTCTGTCCTCCCTTCTGATCCTGGACATGCACAGCTGTGGGGCTCTGTTAGGCCTGGGCTGGTTGGCCATAGTCATCATGGCTGCTCTGTTTCTAACCAAAACGGCAGGCAGAAGAAGAAAACTTCTCCAGTGTTTTAGATCCCTCATGTCTCCTGTCCCCAAAATATTTAATCATCAGGCATTTCTGTAAGAGTGGGTATTTCCTGTTAACTCAATCCCAGCCGAGACTGGCCCAATAAACACCTCAGCTCTCTGTTACAGAGTTTATTTGGCTGGGAAATGGGTATTGCCATGTAAACAGGAAGCCCCCTGAAGTTATTATCTACAGATGCGGTTGAAGAGCCACATGTTTATATTTATGGGATTTGAAAACAGTCTGAAAGGCAGGGGAGGCTGTTGGGGAAGCCTTCATTCACAGTCAGTAAGAGCAAGTCCTACAGATCTTCATGAGTTGATTTTTTTTTTTTTGAGAGGTTTTTATTATAGGCGCGTGTGCTCGCTGGACAAATAGTAGAGACAAGTAAAGAGTTGAATGTTATCCTCCAAATTTAAACGGAGAAATCAAACCACAGCAGAAGATAAAGTACATGAGCTTGAACTGGTGAAATAGAATTTTATGACTTTTGACTAAAACATTGCTGACCTTCTATGCTTTGTTTTCCAGTGTTAAGGAGTTTTGTCTTCTCTTACATTATGGACTATTCAAACAGAATCTTAACCTGTTTCCTTTAAGTATTAACAACTGCTGGTCCCTTCAAGAGTTGATTTTTCACTCCTGGGAACATGTGGGAAACTAATGACAACCAAGAGCCACTGTAGAGGTAGAGGTCTTGGCTAGTCTGCTGTAGGTAACCATCTCTCCCCAGATTATCAAGTTAACAATAGGCTACCCAATCAACTGGCCTCCGTCCCAACTATTTGAAAATCATTTTAGAAACTAGTCTTAGGAAACAGTGGTTTGGGGCATCTACAAAGGTAGGGAGGGGGCTTATGATAACAGTCATAGTCTCTTAAGTTCTTCTGGGGAGGTGGAGGACAACTCAACTGACTGCTCCAGTGTTAGTGAGTATTCCTAAGAGACTGGGAAGGATGGCTTCATGTGACACCTGAGCTGTCCTGCCAATGAACAGGTGATGAGACAACCTGGCATGGGCCTAGGACTTTGTACCCCAAGTGTCTTCCAAACCTGTCCCCACCCACTTCAAGTCTTTCTTCACTGGCTCTCTCTTCTAGCCTGAAAAAGGTGCATAAGGAAGGCGAGGTAGGAACGGGCTCTGAGCAAAGGCTAGAGAATCCTTCCCCTCCTCCATTGTTCCTGTGCACCCTGAGAAGCCTCTTCAGGCTTCTCAGCAGTAGCGGTTCAATCAGGGGGACTTGGAAATGAAATTTTAAAAAGTTATGAATCAGGGCCAGCCTGTGATCTGGTAGTTAAAGCAGCTCGATTTCATGGTCAACCAAACTGTTCGAGTCCTGGACTTGGCGGCTTCAGAAACACAGTGGGCACACATGTGTGTGCCCAAAATCCCCAAAAGAGGGAGAAGTAGAGGAGGAGGGTTTGTAAAGCAACCATGCCCCATGGAAGGTGCTTTCTCACATTCCCTTTCTCTCTCTCTGTCTGTCCCTGGTGAGTGCATGCATTAAAAAAGTATACATGCGTATACACACACACACGTATATATGACGAGTCAAAACATAGCAAATAATCCACTATAAATGCAAAAGGTCATACACTACAGGACGTGTGTGTGTGTATGTGTGTGTGAGTGAATGCATGCATCCCTGAAAGGAGGGTGGGAGGAGGATGGAGGGGTGGGGAGGGTACCCGAGCAGTCATACAGGGAAAGATGCGGCTCGCTGCCCATACACATGTGCTCCTTGACACAAGCATGTGCTTGCCCCAGTTGTTTCTTATTCCTACAAATTCTACAAAAACAAAACACTGTCCTCACCCCACAAGTGGTAGAGAAGCAATTACTCTTCTTCAAATATGTTAGAGAGGACAAGGGACATTGGATGTTCCTTGGGATGTTAGCTAAGGGAGTATGGTGAAGCTGACATTTAAGAAGCGATTATTATTAATTTGGGGGAAGCTTTTATTCTAAAGCTTCTTGTGACTCAAGTTCAGCCCCACTGGTCAGATATGTTCAACCAGTCAGAAATCAGAGGAATCAAATTTCTGGAAATATACTTAACTTTTACCAGAACTTATTTTACTTCATTTTCTTATTACCTTTTAGCAATGATGTCAGGCCATTTCGTGGGGTTTCCTGTAAAATGTGCTTTATAGTTTAGCATCACCAACGTGGCTCACTTCCTGATTATGTTCTATTCTTCCCAGGCCATTCTGTCACACTCCACAAGCATTCTTCCCCCAAATCAAGAATATATACCAAAATGCTTTGTACAAAGAACAAAATTCTTCCACACGTCTTTTAAGGAGTAACTCTTGCAGCAGGAACATGAAATGAGACACAAAAATGCAATCAGGTCCCATGTGGCTTTGCACATTGTAGGCTTTAGGAAATTTTTCCTGGAGCACCAAAAGTATTAGAATTAGGCTGGATATAGAAAATGGAAGTAAAATATAGTAAGTTCAATAGAATTAGAGGTATAACATATAATGATAAAATTTATGGGTGTTTTTGAGAGATGAGGTTACCAAGAACTCCCCAAAACATAATGGATAATGGAGTGATATAAATGGGCAAATTTACTTTTTAAAACCAGCAAAAGCAACAACAAAACCATGTAACACATATAATTATGGGATTATCAATAAAACTGCTTTATGATTTAAACTCTTTTGACACCCTTGCTAAATCAAATCTTTCTTTTTTTTTTTTTTTTAATAACTCTATCCATCTCCGGCAGTGAAACAATTCTGACCAGTTTCACTTTCTGTTTCTCTCTGAATTTCTCTTCATTCTTCTACCCCCAAGGAGAGGCGTCTGCTGTAGGATCTTTACACAGTGCAATAATGCCTTAGCCTGACTTTGTTTCCTCGGACAGTTATTTACTGTTTCAGATCATGGACATCACAGTGACTGTATTCCATTTTAGCCGTGCATGTAGCGTCTTTGTGGGACAGAGACAGTTTGGCTCCTTGTGGAAATCTTCATCTTGGTGGTTCCACAGGCGAGAAATGCAGACTCTTGTTGAGTGTAATTCTCAGCCACACCTTCTTGGGGTACAAACTGGGCTCCGATTGCAGGGAAAGATTGGTGGGCCAACTTCCATCCCTCGTGGGCATGAGAGGGAGAGAAAGAACCATCCAAAAAGGAAGCAAGTACCGAACTTTAGCAAGGAGTTAAGTAGTTAATAGAAACTAAATGGGTTTTTTTTTTTTTTTCATTAGCTAATAAAAATAGTTAATAGAAACTAAATGGTTTTTTTTTTTTTTTTCATTAGCTAATAAAACCTCCCAGGGTTTTTCACATTATATGTTTCCTTCGGGCTGCTAGCCCAATGCTTAAAAAAAGCAAAAGACAAAAACAACAACAAAAAGCTGGAGCCTAAATACCAATGCAGTCTCAGTCTTGTTTACTTTTTCATTTCCGCAGTTGTAGTGAA